TTTGTCCTTTTGTGACTGACTTATTTCATTCAGCATAATGTTCTTAAGGTCCATCCATGTTGTACCATGTGTCAGCATTTCTTCCTTTTTAAGGTAGAATCATAATCCGTTGTGGATATATTTCATTTTGTTAATCCCTTCATCCATTGAGATGGACATTTGGGTGGTTGCTGTGAACATGGGTGTGCAGATGAAACCCCACTCTTCATTCCTTTGAGTATATACCCGGAAGTGAAATTCCTAGATCATGTGATGAACTGTTTTTAATGTTTGAGGAGCTGCTATGCCATTTCCTACAGTGGTCGCACCACTTTACATTCCCCCCAGAAGTGCACACGAGTTGGTTTCTCACCCCCTCATCAACACTTGTTATTTTCTGTTTTTTGGATAGTAGCCATTCTAGTGGATGTGAAGTGATCGCATTGTGATTTGAATTGCCTTTTCCCTGATGATTAGTGATGTGGCTATCTTGTGTGCTTTTTGGCCATGTATATGTTTTCTTAGAGAAATGTCTATTCATGTCCTTTGCCCATTTTTGAATCAGGTGGTTTTCTGTTGAGTTTTAGGAGTTCTTTATGTATTGTGGATACTAACCCTTTATCAGATATGTGATTTACAGTTATTTCCTAGCCTTCAGTGAGTTGCTTTTTTACTCTTTATTTGGTTGGTAATGTCCTTTGATGCACAAAAGGTTTGTTTTGTTTTGTTGTAAGATTTTATTTTTGAGTAATCTCTACACCCAACATGGGGCTCAAATTCACCACCCAGAGATCAAGAGTCCCATGCGCCACTGACTGAGCCAGCAGAGTGGCCCCCCTCCCCCCCTTTTTTTTTTAAGATTTTGATGCATAAAAGATTTTAAGATTTTATTTGAGAGAGAGAGCACAAACGGGGGGAGGGGCAGAGGGAGAGGGAGAAGCAGACTCCCCGATGTGCAGGGAGCCCAATGCAGGGCTCGATCCCAGGACCCCAGGACCATGACCTGAGCCGAAGGCAGTCGCTCACCCGAATGAGCCATCCAGGTGCCCCTGTACAAAAGATTGTAATTCTGATATAGTCCAATTTGTCAGTTTTGTTTGTCACTTATGCTTTCAGTGTCGTAGACAAGAAATCATCACTAAATCCAGTGTCTGGAAGCTTACCCTATGGTTTTTTTTTTTAGTAGCTTTGTAATTTGAGGTCTTACATTTAGGTGTGATTCATTTTTTTTTCTTAAATTTTATTTATTTGAGAGTGAGAGTGAGCAAGAGCAAGAGAGAGAGAGCACGAGTGGCAGGGGGTGGGGGTGGGGCAGAGGCAGAGGGAGAAGCAGACTGCCCGCGGAGCAGGGAGCCTGACATGGGACTCGATCCCAGGACCCTGAGATCATGACCTGAGCCAAGCGCAGACGCTTAACTGACTGAGCTACCCAGGTGCCCCAAAACACAAATGATTTTTGTGTGTTAATTTTGTGTCCTGCAGATTTGCTGAATTTGCTTATTAGTTTTATTTTTTACTCACAACCCTGAGATCAAGACGTGACCTGAGATCAAGAGCCAGACACTTAACTGACTGAACGACCCAGGCACCCCTAGTTATTAGTTTTAACTTTTGAGGGGAATCTTTAGGGTTTACTACATATAAGAATATATCATCTTCAAACAGATAATTTTACTTCTTCCCTGCCAATTTGGATCCCTTTTATTTCTTTTTCTTGCCTAATTGCTCTGGCTACGATTTCCACTACTGTGTTGAATAGAAGTGGTGAGAGTGGGCATCCTTGACTTGTTGCTTATCTCAGAGGAAAAGCTCTCAGTCTTTCACCATTGATAATATATTTGCTGTGGGTTGTTCATAAATGACCTTTAGAACGTTAAGGAAATTTTCCTCCATCTCTAGTTTATTGTTTGCACCAAGAAAGGGTGTTGAACGTTGCAACTGCCATTTTCTGCATCAATTGAGACGGTCGTGTGGTTTGTCTTTCATTCTATTAACGTGGTGCATCACGTTGATTAATTTTCCTGTAAGCATCATCCTTGAGTCCAGGGCTTGCCTTTTTTTTTTTTTTTTAAATGAAGTTTGCTATGTTTCAGTAATTTCAGGCTCACAGGAAAGTTGCAAGGATAGCATGGAGCTTCCCCACCGTGGTGTGACTCCTCTCACTGGGCACATTTGCCATGTCACTGTGGACTCCACCTCGGACCTGATGTTTTCCAGGACTCCGTCCAAAGTCCCCCATCTCGTTCAGTTGCCATGTCTGCTTGGGCTCCTCTGGGCTGTGACAGTTTTCACATGTCTCTTGTTTTTGATGATCCTGGCAGTTTTGAGGAGTGCTGGTCAGGTGTTACAGAGATTGTCCTTCTGATGTTTTTCTCACAGTTAGACTGAGATTGTGGGTTTTGGGAGAAGACCCCAGAGATGAGGTGCCTTCTGGTCACGTCCTGACAGGGGACACGTGACGTCTGTACAACATCACAGGGATGTTGACCTGGTTAAGGTGGTGCCGCCAGGTTTCTCCATGGTAAAGTTACTGGTTTCCCCTTTTCCTCATTTCTTTGGAAGCCCATTGCTAAGTCCAGCCGTCCCTCAATAGGGATCCTGGCCCCCTTGGGCAGATATGTCTGCTCAGATACTCTGGGATTCTGGAAGGGGATCCTGCACTCCCTCTACCTTCCTACCAGGGAAGCTTCCAGCTGCTTTGGGTGCTGAGCGTTCAGGGGCAGTTGGGCCTAGCGGGTTACTTTCTGACCAAGCTAGAATTGCTGGGGGTTCCTGGGGAGCTCTCTTCCTAGGGGTCCTGCCCTCCCCTCAGTGTCAGAATGGACCTCCCCCCCTCCCCCCCCGCCAGCCTATGGTGGTTCTGTTATCTGTGCCCTGGCCCTGAGGGTAGTTTTGCTCTCTGTGAATTAGGGGCCTTCCAGGTCTGCATTGGGGGTGCTGAGCTGCTTCCTGACAGCTGGCCTCAGACTTTCTATTTTTAGAAAGTCATTGAGAAACTCGGTGATGTGAGAACATGGCACTCGTGCCAACTGGGGATGTGGGCAGGGCCATGGGCATTGCAGGGATGGTGGCTGCCATGGGCTGTGGATTCCCTTGTAAGCACGCATGCATGTGTGTACACTCCTGCACACACAGGGGAGCAAAGCATGTTCTGCTGGCATGCTGGCATGTGTGTGTTCTGCTGGGAGGCCGCGCCCCTCCTGAGACTGAGCACAGGCCTGTGGTAGAGGGTACGGGCCAGCAATCCTCTTAATGGACTCAACATCCCAGTCTTCGCTGCCACCCCTTCAGGTTCTGGAGGGCATCTCCAAGAGGCGAGCTCATGGGTGGGGCCAGCTAGGCTGCCTTATCCCTGGGTCTGGCCCTGTCCTGCAGGTGGGTGGTTCCTGGTGACCGGTGGGGCCCAGGGTCTGAAAGCCTGGGGCTGGGAGACCCTTTTTCCCCTGCAGGTAAGCCCTCTGCATGCCCTGCATCAGTATTCTCTTTCCCTGCCAGGCCATGGCGTATGCCTCCGAGGATGGGTTCCTCACTGAGGCCATGATGGATGCCCGGGTCCAGGATGCCATCCAGCAGCACCAGCAGAAGATGCAGTGGCTGAAGGCTGAGGGAGCCAGGCCTAAGGGTGACCAGCCCCTGACCCCAAGTACACAGGCTGAGTGAGCTGGGCCTGGATACCCAGGGGGCACATTGGTCAGTGGCCCTGCCAGGAAGAAGCACCAAGATGCCCACTTCCCCCAGTGATGGGCCTACGCAGCTGCCCACCTCAGCATTTTTAAATATTCCTCGGGTCAGGGCCAGCACAGCATTAAAGGCCTCTGCTTGGGAGCAGCTGCAGTTGTAGCGTCTTTGTGGGAGGGCTGGTTCCTCTGTACCCTGGGCTTTTCCCTTCAGGCTGTGGTGGTGCTTGCTGGGTGGTCCAGACTGGGGCCGTCACCTGACCCCCAGGACACTGCTGGGAGATGTGAGTCTCTAAGCCAGGCCCAGTGCTGGGGGGGAAGCGCTGTCCCCATGTGCAGGGACAGTGGTCCAGCTGGTACTGCTGGTTCTCAGGTGCTGGCTAAGCTCTTGTGGCCGGCTGCTGCATCTGTGTCCAGAGCGGGGCTGGGCATGGGTAGGGGCCTGACCTTGTCCAGTCTCACCCAGCAAGCGAGGGCTGAGCAGAGCAGGCCCCTGTGCTGCTGGGTGGGAGCTGCTTCCCCCCGGAACTAGGGAGAGGGACATGCCCTGCATACATCTGACTGTGATACACCCAGAGGGTAAGAACTAGCTGCCAGCGACCGGTGGTGGTGCCTGAAGGGCCAGAGGCCCACTGGCCAGGAATGTCCAGTGCTGGGGGCGCTGTCCTAGCCCACAGGATCTGTGGCCCTTCATCCATTGGAGTTGGGGTCTTTTTATCCAGAATCCAATAAAAACTTGACAGGATACCTCACAATGTGTGTATCTCATGGCTGATTCAAGGGGCAGGGGCTTGAAAGGGTCACAGGTTCAGAGATGAAAGAAGAGGCAGAGACTGGAGCTTTCTGGAGAATTTACTGACCAGCAGGGGTGGGGGTCACAGTGAGGCGCCCGACCGGGGATGCCCTGGGCAGGGTGGCCACACTTGCCGCAGTGGGGCTTGGGGGCCTTATTGCTGCTAGGCCGGGGCCTCCACCAGACCCCTGCCCCCCGCCCCCCAACCCCCTTTGCGGCCCGCGGACGCACACGCCCCATGCACATGCTCCCGTGTGCAGACGTGGGCGCGGCTGGGCGCCGGCCCCTTCCCTGCCAAGACCCTCTCCCGGCCTTGCTTCCCTACGCCAGAACTGGTCCCGAGAAGCAGCCGGGCGCACAGGAAATAACCGGGTTTAAGTAACAGACATGGTCTCAGCCCAGGTGCGGGTGAGACTACAGTGCGCGGGGGCGAGCAGGTGGTCCCGGCCGCCGGCACAGGTGCCCAAGTCCCCCGCCCGCCCTCGCTCAGGGCCCGCCGCCCTGATCCCCGCGCCCTTTCCGGCCCGGGAGGCCGGGGTCCTCCCCCCAGGCCGGCGGCCTGCCCCGCCCCGACCCCCTTTATAAAAAGAAGAGGAGACAGCACCTTCCGCTGGACACGCCCGGCGGCCGCGGGCGCCCTGGCCCGGGGCGGCCGTCCAGTCCCGTGTGCGTGGGCGCGTTGGCCGAAGGCCCCGCGAGTCTTGCGCGCGGCTCAGAGGTGCCGCGGGCTCGGGTGGCCGTTGTGGTAGAGTTTCTGCTTCACGTGCACCATGTTGCCGGCCGCCTCCTCGAAGGGTCTGTGCGGCCGCCGGCCCAGCTCCCGCAGGCTGCAAAGCTTGGGCAGCCAGGTCCACGAGCCGTCTGCGGGGCGGGGGCGCGGTCAGGACGAGGTCAGGGCGGAGGCGTGGGCGGCGCGCGGTGGGTGGGGAGCGCGGCCAAGGAAAGGCGTGGGCGGGTCGGTGTTGGAGGCGTGGTCGAGCGGAGGCACGGCGTGGGAGGGGGCGTGGTGAGAAGCGACGGGCGTGGCCTTGGTGGGGGCGTGGCCATGGCGGGAACGTGACCCGGTGGGGGCGTGACCTAAAGGGTTGCGGTGGGGCGGGTGGGCGAGGCGTGGCACCGCGGGGGCGTGGCGATAAGGGCGTGGCCTGGGAGGGAACGAGGCGATCCCTGGTGGGGGCGTGGTGTGGCGAGGGGGCGTGGCCTTGGAGGGGTGGTCCGGGAGGGCGCGGCGGGGCCCGTTCTGGTGGG